CTCCCCTTACCTTCACATATGTTCTGAAAACAACCAGCCAGCGAGGGGCACCCCGGAACCATTTCTCCACATGGAACTGCTGACAAGCCGGATTGCTATCTTTCGGCCGCCGAGAGAAATTCACGAACTATGAACCGCTGCCATGCCCAACCAGCCCAAGCCGATGCCATCCCGCATGCGCCAAGCTTCGGAATCAGGGAGGTAACCGTGACCTTGGGGCGCCGATCGGAACCCCCGAGCGAAGGCAGAGCCGAGTTTCTGGTGGAAAACCCCGGGGCTGAGACCCCTCTGCATGTGGTACCCATATACGAGGTACGCCTCCCCTGTCCAGACACTGACCCTGAGATGGAGGTGGATGTGGGTTACCCACAATGCCCAGTTCATGAAACTGCGTGATTGACACCTGACAAGGCTCACCAAGGTCAGCCAGGGAAGGAAGGCCTGAGGCCTCCAAAAAAATTATCTGGTGATCCTCACTTCATGCAGTTGAAAGATTGGGCGAGTCTATGTGCCTCAAAAGCGATTCATATTAATTATATGATGCACGCTGGTGAACGTTACAGATGTGTCCTTGTGCACTTCGAATCCTGACTAAATAAGCAAGCTGCAGTGTAGGAAGCGCCCGGGGTGTAGCCAGCCTCAGGAAAAAGCACGCAAAGCTCAGGCCTGGTAACAGCGGGGGCTGGAAAATACAAATAGCCATTTGGGCGTTGGTGTCTATTCCCTATGAACTTTATTGGGCAATATTCAAGCTTCCGCGGCCCTTCCGCATCCTTGCGGCGGGCCAAGAGGCCTCCGTGGCACATGTTTTGCATCGTTTGCTTCCGCAAAGCTTCCGCAGCGCATGTTTTACGGGATTTGTTTGCGCGAGTATTGTCACAGAAAGGAAGTCAGTTTAAGTAAGCAACGAAAGTCATGTTCCGGCTGTGTTGGTGCAGCCTGCGTAGGCTTGGGCTCCATTCAGCTACCCGTGCTGCGTGGGCACTTGCCTGCAAACACGGGCCCACCCCTCCGCGGAGCTTCCGCGAACCTTCCGCAAAATCCACTCGCTGCTTTGGTCCTCATGACTTGCTGTGGGCAACTGTTCTTCTAGTAAGCGTTGTGTTTCTTGTACGCAGCAACACCTTTCTCGTGTATCACTGCTTTTCCACGCGCACACACCGAAACAATTGATATCAAACCACAAAGCTTCCGCAAAACTTGCGCGAAAGAAGCTTCCGCAAAGCCTTCCGCATGCTTCCGCGCGTGTGACGCGATGCACATTTTCAAGAATAAGGTCCCTCTCCCAACTAAATTAGCTTGCGGGCAAAAACATGCCGCTCATTCGTTTTCGTTCCGTTTGAACTCAGGGGCTTAGCAACATTTAGCATCCAGAACAGCGGCAAGGGAGTAGAAACATAGACACGCCCGGAGCAAGGACAGAAAGACGGCTTGTTGCGCGTTCACTGGGTTTCCAGGTGCTAAGCAATGGGTGAGGAGACACAATACATGAAACGACCCATCCCCTTTTGTTTTGTTTGCTTTCGGGAAGGTACCTATCGTGGGCTACTTGGCACCCACAACTTGCAACAAACTGCCACAACATAACTTGCTGGTGCTCAGTAGGGATGAGAAATTGAATGACCCCTATTAGCCTACATGCTATGAACCATTCCTTGGGTTCACTCCATTTCTCATTCCCTACTTATCGCACCAAGGTAACAAGACCCAAGCGCCAATATCCCAAAGGTAAGCCCACGTCCAGCCGCAGCCTGAGAAAGGCTCATGCTTTTCCCACATCACGCCTGGGGGACGCCTGGGGGACGCCTGGGGTTTTTGATTGAAATCACGCCTGGGGGGTGCAGGTGTCTTCTTTTTTTTGAATTCACGCCTCTGGGCTGGTGCTTTTGAAAAAAAAGAACACCAGCCCAGAGGCGTGAATTCAAAAAAAAGAAGCGGAGCCCCAGGGCGTGAATTCAAAAGAAAAAACGCCCCACCCACAGGCAGGAATGCAACAAAACAAGCACCGGGACCCCGGCGTGATTTCAACAAAACAAAAAAAACCGGGATCCCCCCAGGCGTGATTTGAAACAAAAAAACACCTGGACCCCCCAGGCGTGATGTCAAAAAGACACCTGGACCCTCCAGGCGTCAAACACACCTGGACCCCCCAAGCGAGAAAAAAAGAGAAACAAAAACGGGACCGGGGCGTTTTTGTTCTTTGCAACCACCAGTCGCTCAATTACTTACTTGCTCGCTTCGTTTGTGAGATAAAAACACAAACACGAGAATCCAAAATGAGGAAATCCAAAATAGACACGGCTGGTGTAAATTCAAGTAACAAAAACACCGGTTCCCCCGAGAAATGATGAGAAATGAGCACCTCGCACCAAGGCGCGGAGAAAGACAATCCTCCAGTAGCCAAGAGGGATAACAGCACGCCCTTTGGTTGGGGCAATGTTGACCCCGGCTTAACAAACCCATCCTATCAATGGGTGGCATCCCCTCCAAACGTGATGAAGCCGGGCCAGGGCTTCGACTTCCTCCGGGTCCCAGTAGCTGATAGAGCGAAAGCCGATCCAAAGAAGGGAAAGGCTTCCGCAAAAACGATCTGGGCTTTTGCTTGCTTGCCAGGTGTCTACGGGGACATCGTGGGTGATCTTGCAGGTGTCACCGGTGGTAGCGCCTAGCCGAGACACACTCGGGTCGAAGCCTTGGCCACCCTCCTGGGGGTGGCCACACCTGGGGTACACTTCATATGGCCATGGGTCAAAATCCAAATCGTACCCCCAGTGAACATCCCAATCTCCACTAAAATAGACTAAAATGGGTGGTGCACCTATCCAAAAATGGTACCATTGGTTTTGACCCACATATTTAGGCGAGTGCTTCCGGGGACCACTTTTGTGGGTTACCAGGGCTTCTTGCCTCTAGGTTTTACATGGTGAAACCCACAATGCCTGGGAGCCCCTGAAAAACAAAATCAAGTCTTGGTTGTCTATTCTTGGGGCCTCTACCGGCCTTGCAGGCAAGTATGGTGCATGCTCCCTGTGGCTTTCTTAAGTCCGGAATGGGTGGAATCCAGCATCATTCTTCTGAGAAACAAAGACCTGGATTTGTATCTGCGCTCGAGCTGCAAGGGGTTCTCTCTGAGGTTTGGTGATGGATGTGCATTATTCAGACTGGCTCATCTCGGAGTGGGTGAGGCAAATCGGCTTTTGGAGCCATGCATTTCTCTGACTTTCCCACCTGCTGGTTTTGAAAGGTATCCCCAGCCATCCTCCCAGGTCATTTTGGAGGGTGCAATCGTGCTTGGTTTGTTTTGCGCTCCTTGTTTTGCAAACGTGTTTTGGTGATTGGGTTGGTGCCCTCATGGAAAGGATTTCCATGGGGCTGGAACATGCTGGAACCGTCTGCCCTCTCGGGTGCATCCGATCTAAGGGGCTCCTTAGTTCATAAGACCCATATGTGAACCATATACCGCCATGCCCCAAACAGGTCGTATCACCCCTCGCTGAAGCCTCTTTTTGGACGGTTTTGCACAACACCGGCCCCTACCAGCCAGGAAGAAGCCCTTTGGAGATGCAGCAACAGCACATAACAAGAACAAGGTGCAGCCAGTCCATTCCGAACCTCACCCGCCACCTCATTCTCGGTTTGGGCCGGCAATCTGAGAAGTGCAAACAGTCGGTATCTTCTTTTCTTATTTTCGAGAAATGCGAAGATGATGGGGCCTTTGCATGGCTTGCAACGATTCAAACTCTGTGCAACCGGGGTCTCAGATCTTCCGGCTCACGCAAACCTAATCAACATCCACCTGCCTTCTTTGCAATGCTACATCTGTCTCTTGCACCATCTCATTCCGGGCACCTGCAGGTCAAATCAATTCGCAAGGTGTCCTTCCGGTTCCTCCACATTCCCAGCTACCCTCGAAATCTACTTTCAGACATGAAAACGGCGCGCACATCGCCTGCCAATACCCTCCCGTCCAACCAAACATTGCCAAGCCCAAAGCCTCCTGCGACCCCAGATCCTCCCTTCCCATCCCTCTCCGGGCCTACGCTGGCTATGCCCATAAACCCAAAGCTGCTGCCCTCACTGTAGCCCCCCAGGCAGGCGTAGTTGCAGGTCATACTGGCCGGGTGCGCCGCGGCCTGCGAAATCAATTCGGTCTCTGACCATTTGGAGTGATCTGCTTGAAGAATACCAAGACAATTACAGCACCACCCTGAAATTGACCAGACTCAGGTTTGGAGAAACAATTTGGGGGCGGATGGCCCCCCCAAAAAAAACAAAAATAGTATGCTCTGCTCAGGTTCTTCAATCTCCAAGCCTCGCCTTAGGAGTTTACATCTCCAAGACACCAAGATCAGGTTCACAAAAAACCCGAAAAATACAAGGTGAACACTTCTTGAAACCATGACCATGGAATATCATGGACCAAAACAGGACAACCAAAAGCCCAAAAGCTCGATTCGCTTTGGGCCAGGGATGTTGTGTCAACCTCTATCTTGCGGCGAACCCCAAGCCCAGTGCGGCAACCCAAGCCTTCCAAAGCATCGCTGCCCATAGCATCTGCATGACGGCACACCCGCGGCTGGTGGCGAGCTGGTAGCCGTGCGGCTAGCAGAGGGAACGCGCGGCTTCGGTTGACTTCTGCCGATGGTCAACGTGCGTCTTGGTCTAAACGATGAATTTGGGTGAAGAAACACACAAGAAAAGGGGCACCCTCAAAGAAATGGAGTCCCAAGACTAAAACCCGCTTGTCGGCTGATCTCAAAACCTGGATCCCCCAAAAAACCAGCTTCCGGCCTCTCGGTGGTTTGGATTGCGGGTTTCAAGCCCCGGTTCTTCTAGAGGGTCAATGGGACACCTCTTCCCAACCACCAAACCACCGACTAGAAGAAACTTGCAAAATGTGCCCATTCCTCAAAGTGAAGTGCCACCACCGACCAGAAGAAACTTGCAAAATGTGCTGCCCATTCTTCAAAGTGAAGTGCCACTGACTGCCCGCTGCGCGCCTCTTTTCGGCTGCCTCCTTCGCCTCCTTCTCTGCCAACGGTATTGCCTGCATGCATTTTCCTTTGGGGGATCCATGTGTCTGCGGCTTGAAGGCGAGCATCGCTGGCAATGGCACCCGTCTGGTATTCTGGTGGGGGCCCACACGCACACCCTTCGCACGCACAACACCCACACACCCAGACACACCTGGACAAGGCTCAAACTGACCACAAAGGGAAGTATGAGTTGGGATCGGGCTCAGAAAGTACAGTATCTACCATCCAGAAGCCGCTACCCTAAGGGTATGAAGTGGTTGTGCTTGGGGGTCCCCAAGAAAAGTTCTCTGAACCAATGTCGGACCCTCACCCTAAAGTCCTTGCCTAGGTTTTGTTTGAAGCGTTCTTTGGAGGATGATGGGTTGGCGAGCAAAGACTCAAAGTCTAGGTCCTCCAGTAGAGAGGTTAGAATCAGGGTACCCTTTTTTTTTCTGTAGTCTATCTTAGTAGGGGAACCCTCCCCCCCCAAAAAAAAGACAAGTGTAACCCTGGGGGATACATTCCTATCGCCCTGCACCCTCGGGGCACCTGAGCCAAAGGAACCTTACCTACCTTCCACTGCCGGATCAACCGCGATGAGCCTCTTGGAGAAGCTCCTCCTTGGCCTGGTTGGCACATAAACTAGGCCCTCCAGTAGAGAGGATAGAATAAGGATACCCGTGTTTTTTTAAGTACGGGGAACCCTCCCCCTCAAAAAGTTGGTGAAAGGGCACCTAGCTGGGAACCTAGTAAAGGCAATGCATAGCCTGACATGGAACCTCACCGGTGGCTCTAAGACCGATGTCTTGCATGGACCCTCTGGTGGGTTCCATGCTAACCCCAAAGTGCTGGTAAATTGGATGTAGACTCTAGGCCTACTATTTGAAGGAGCCTACCTCTTTGCGGCAAACGTGCGGTAGATAGAATCAGCATCTGGAAAAATCGGCAGCCTAGAGGCAGCTTTCCAACTTGTTCCCCGCTCGCTTCTCATACTGCGGATGTATAAAAACAAAACGGCTTTGGACGGATGAAGCCCAACAGCTTGGCCCACATCTGGCAAACTCCAAAGGATGTTCGGATTCTGCCGCACTCTTAGCCACCCTAAAATAGAAAATCGTGTTGGGGACCCCAGAATTAATGGCATAAACCCCACTAAAACAGCGACCAAGGGGTCCGAAATGGAGTGTCCATTGAGTGACCATCTGCTGTCTCAGCTCTTTCGGGTTTGGGAATGAACCGTTTGGGATTCCGTGAAGGGACAACTTGCGATCGCGTTCGAGAGATGCAGGGAATGAGACATGGAATGACCACCAATGACCCATCCCTGATGTGTAAAGGACAAGCCTTCGGGGATGGGTCATTGGGGGCGAAGGAGAATTTGCTAGTAGCCACTTCTCCTTGACCTTCTGGCCAAAATTAAGCAAACACCGTCAGATACCTTAAGCAAACGGAAGGATCGAGAACATGGTCTTGGTTCAGGACAATTCAACTTTGAGATGCCAAATGGAATACCCTGACCCATGTTTCTTCCAGCTTCCCTCGGCATCACTGAAAAAAGGTTCCCCAAATCTGAATCCCAGAACTCTCGGCATAACCTCCCGGGAGGAAAGAAATGGAATATCGGCGCAAAGGTGTCCAAAAGCTCTATAGGGGCTAGATGCCTGTGGAACAATCGATGGTACTGAATGATTGGAACCAATCTGAAGAAAGTGCCATCTGTGTAAACTGACCCTCCCCCCCCCCTCCCCCCGCCCAAAACAAAAAGAGAAAAGGACATACATGCTGCAGGGCCGTCTCACAAGGCAACCATCATGCCGCACCGGGTCTTTTATATACATAGAATGTTTTATATGCACGCCCTGTCAGGCCAGTCTGCATCAACCAGCTGCCCTGCAATAGCCTGACGCATTACAGTCATTGCCGTAGGCGATGCTTCTAAAGGTTTATTCATCCCCCGGGATCAACCGTTCTTTTTTGACCCATGTTTGAGGAACCCCTAACATGTTTGCTGGCATTTTCTGAAAAATGGATCCCTGGACAGAACTGAGAAGCTTGAACATGAAGCGCTTGTGACCTTGCAAACAATATTCTGTCGCTAGGAACCAGCTTGTTTAGCCAGACGAGGTTCAGAGCTCTTCAAGCGGTTCAGCTTGGTTGGGGCATTTGGGGAATATGTGTTTCTCATAGCAGTGCCAACAGCTGTTCCAGCATCAAGTTCTGACCCGGCTTTGAGCGAAACGAAGGAGCTCCCTTGAAGCGGCTTCTGCACTCAAAGGTGGGTCCGTTTGTTTTCTTCATACAGTAGAGCGGGGGTGGGGGGGGGGGGGGGAAAGGAGCAACAGGTGCCCCCTTTCCAACAGCCCCGGAAGAGGGCATAAGGCTCTCCTTTCAGAAACCTCCCTCCACTTCCATGATTGTTGGAAAAAAACGGTCCCTTGACCGACCCTTCCATTAGGCTGCTTCTCGCCTGGGCGACGTGGGCAGCCGACTGCTTCTTCAGGCGTGTCTCCTCGTCTTCCATGGCCTGAGCTGCCATCCCCGAGGAAAAACCTGGGGGCGGTGTCAGACCCTGAGCAAAAGGCCTTAGGCGGTGTCAAACCCTGAGATTAAAAAAAATAATAACGCCTTTTTGGGGCCCTAGCCTTGGCTTATCCAGCTGCCGTCCCAGTTCCCCCCCCGTTGGAGGTCCATGACATACAACCACCAAAAGGTGAACCCTCTGTGGACTTTTGTTGGTCTGACCTTCAAAAATATGGGGTGCTAGCATCGAAAAGCTGTTGGTTGCGTGTGTTCACTTTCATGGACTGGGAAGGAAAGAGAGAGGGAAAGAGACAAGAACAGCAAATGACAGAGACGCAGAAAGAGAAAGAAGAAAGAGAAAGAGAAAAGAGAAAGATAAAGAGCCGATCAGAAGCGACAGATACGCAGAAACAAATAAACAAACCGAGAAAGAGGTTCTGAAAGAAAAAGGAAATGAGGAAGAAAGAGGAAGAGAAACAGAAAGACGCAGAAATAAAGAGAAAGATAAGGATAACAGCGAAGAGGAGGATGAGAAACAAGTTGAATGATAGAGAAGAAGAAAGAGACAGCGAAAGAGTTATTGAAAAGGAAGACACTGCTAACTACAACGAAAAAGATACTGATAACAAGAAAAAGAGAAAGAGAAGGCGAAGGAAAGGAATACCAGCGAGATAAATACAGATAATGATACACAAAGAACGACATATGCCGAGATAAAGACACAGAACGGGAAGAAAGAGAAAGATCATGATTGAAACTTCTCCCCCCCCCCCCGCCCTAAGTGGGAGACAATCCACAACCCCATTCTAATTATTGAACTGCCCTTGCTTTAAATCCATGCCTAAAAGTCCGGCTTCCAAACGACCAATCAGGATTACTTAAAGGGTAATTGGTAAGCGTCTTCCAAGCCAGGATCTAACCCACTTGGGAAACTTATGTCCATGGCTGTGGGGAATTTCGCCCGGCTTGCTCACCACTTCCTAGCTAAGCTTCCCCTTTAAGTAGCCTTTCCCAGAAGCCTTGGCCACCTCCTCCTGGATGCGCTTCTCTGCCTCGAAAAAAGACTGGGGGGCTCTCAGAAGAATCGGGCGGGAAATGTGGGCTTTCAGGGTGGTATTGTGGGGGTTGGTGTAGAAAATCAAAGGAAAACAACATGTTGATATTGATATATGCCCACTTGCCTGTGAGAGAATTCGCCAGAAACACTGCATTCAGAAAGGGCTTGCTTTGCGACATGCAAATACCACAGCAACCAATCCAGGGATTTGTCGACCCCTACAAACAAAGTGCAGGGACATGTGTGGAAGCACGTGAAATACACTACCCATTGGCTTGCAATATGTTGGGAATCAATCCTGCTGGTGCAGTTGGCCCTGCGGCTGTGGGTAACATTGTCCGGCATTCGTACGGCCTAGAAGACACAAACGAAACTGAAATTGCTTGAGAATAGGTGGACGTTTTGCCGATGTGTCCCAACATAGCCGTTCTAGCAACCATTGGCCTGGAATTGAAACATTGAACGCATGGGAGCTCCCAGCACAAGAACAACTCGAGTTTCCGGCCCCACTGCTCCAACCCAAATTGCGACATGTTCGCCCGACAGGGCTTGTCCATTTGGCTGGTAGGGCTCAAACGTCCCAAAACCCCACCCATCTCCGGAAACGGTAGATCCGGAAAAAGAGCAGGGTCACTTTGTGCAATTTGCGCATGGGGCTGCCTCAAAAAGGCACCGTTCTGGACGTTAGGAAGCCCCAGGGAAGTCAACCACATGGACGACCCAATCAGCAGAGACATGAGAAGCGCATTTACACATCTACACATTGTCAAATCTGTCACAAAACCTGCCTTTAAAGACAATTGAGAAGCTGTTGAAACAAGCTCAACCGGCCACCGGGTGGACTTCAACGGACAGGACGACGCTAGAGTTTGCCTAAAGCCTGACCGATGCGAAGAGATCCCAAGCCACATGCCACGAGGTTTCTTGGGCTGCCAGAATCGCAAGAAAAGGCGCATTGGAACGATCAATGCGCACCACTTGTAGATTTCATGGGTGACATTGCGGGCGGGATTGTCTCTATGTGGGATGCCCAGGTTGCATGCACATGATTAAACACCTCAGTATGCACCGTGCAAACAGGATGATCCGGCCACACGCTGCGGCCAGAATTTGGGCTCTTGGCGATGTCTGACGAAGGCATCTTCTAGTTGGCGGGCACAGGGGTTAGAGTTTGATGAGGCCTCAACGTGGCAGTGTGTGCATCAATTTGATAGCATGGGTTTGCCGAGGCCACTACTCAAAAGCCAACAAACCCCAAACCAGCATGAAAGAAACCCCGACCCCCACCGGGCTTATCTAAAGGGATCCACCACTCCCACCCCAAGTATTGGAGCCTTAAAGCATGGACCCAGGCACCCGGTTCCTGGAAACCCGTCCCGAACTTGAGGTCACCCTTCCAGCCTGGGCAAGAATACATATTATATATACATATATATATATATAATATACACAACCCTTTTCCGGCTTCCATTCAGCCCCCAACCACCCCCCAGCCCCCCCCGCCCCCGCTTCCCCCTTGGGCCCGCCTTTGCCACACCTTCCTCAAACTCGCGGTGAGCTTCCGCGATTTGCTCCTCTCGGATCGCCTGGACTGGGAGCGCGAGGCCGGGCCGGGATGCCCATTGGCGGCTGCAGGCGCGGGGCATGTGCACAGATTTACATAAACCAGAAGAAATGGAACTAAGATACAGGCACCAACATTCTAAGATACCAGTGTTTGCCCATGATTTGAGGTTGGGGGGGGGCAGGGCATGCCAATCATTCCTCATCAACATGCCACTTTCACCCTCCCACCCTCCCACTTCCACCCACCCTCCCACTTCCAAGGTGTCCTTTCTTCATGTGCCACATGCCCTCCAACTGTCTCACTTCCCACTCCCCAAGGATGTCCCCCCCCCCCACAGTTACATTTGCCTGCCCACATCCCAACCCTTCCCTGTGCCCACATCCCAACCCTTCCCTGTGCCCACCCCCTGCACTGTGGCTCGGACTACTTCATGGAATACTTGGAGCAGCAGTTCACAGGGAGGGAGGGAGGGTAAAAACATAGGCACCGCTGAAAAGCGGGTAGCGCTGAAAAGCGCACCTTTTTTTTGGGCACGTGGTAAAGATGACCAAGCAGGCCTGGCCAGACAGGGAGGATGGTCATGGGGCACTTTAGCCTGCACCAAGACTGCAATATTGAATGGCCTAGTGGTCCATACCCCTGCTTTGCTTTAGAACTGTAACAACTGAAAAGTACTTGCCAGCACAGAGGGCACAACCATTTGGAAAACACAGGACCTGCTAGTTCATCACCTGAGATGTCATTCGCATTGGGGCCACCTTTTTCAAACTTGCTGTTCAACATCATGAAGCTAAATAGTGATTGGTTCTCTTTGCAGCATTGAAGCACAAGATTACTTGCAGCAATAACTGAATCCCAAAGCTTCATGGTGAATTTTAATCTTAAATGCATCACATGGTTGTTTGAGCCCTGGATTTACAGGAAGGGATGTACAAGAACACTTTGCAAGCATGGGACATGTATAGTTGTCAGGGAGCAGGTGGGCAAAGTGTAGGCTGCAAGGTGTCTGGGTAGTGGCGTTCAGAAATTTCTGGTCCTAAGTTTCCATTTGACCATAGCACCAAAAGTCAAATTGAAATGAAGCTTCAGTCAGCTCTATGCTTTCACTTGCAGCCATGCTGCATTTGCACACTTGCCGTCAACCATAAAAGCAGCCGCAAAAAGGGGCAGCAGGACACTAAGGCTCAAACCCTGCAATACTAAGGCTTAGTTCACTAAGGTCCCAGCAGAGCGGAGCCTGCTGCATACTAAGGTTCAGACACTGACTGAGGTCTGACTGAGGTCTGCACACAGCTTTCTAGGCAGTGCAAAGGCTGGCTGGGCAGAGGGCTGGGCTAACATGCCATTCCAAACAGCACTAAGTGAATGCAATGTACTGTTCTGGCCACTGCTGAATTTGGGTAGCCTCCAGTATTGCACAAGGCATTTTGAAACTGCCAACTGTTTCTCTGGAACTTTGCTAAGCCCTCAGGGCACTCATTGCTCCTCATGTCTTGGAGTGTCCCGCCCAAGAAATTCAATCAGCACCAAAGATGCAGGGACAACCCAGTGGATAATCAGGGAACACTCTGTGTGTGTGTGGTTGATGGCAGCTGTTTCCAACAAGAAAACGTTCAAGCCCACAGGTGAGATGTCTGACCTGCTTTTCTGCCACCCAGCCAAGGCTCAAATTCTGACAGTACCCATGGGCTGGTCCATAAACAATCTGTCATTGTGAAATGGCTGCAAAAACATATTCCAATGGAGCGTTGATGTCAACAACAAAATGCTGTTTGGCCTAGTGCTTCTGCAATCAGAAGCTTGAGCTCCCCTGACCTACCAAGCTATCCTTTACCCTTGCCCCTCCATGCCTTGGCTTTCCAAGGCATGGCTGCAACCCACCCTAGCCTCTTCATGAGGGGTTCCATCAGCCATGCTCAGGTTGCTTGCCTGTTGGTGCCTCAGACCATCCTCAGTGCACTGAACATGCTTTGTGAGCTAATCCTGAGTTGATGTAACTGTAAGTTGCTACCCAAACGGGCTTGGTGCAGGGAACCCTGACTCACTGCCTCTCACCCTGGCCGCTTTCTGGCTGAGGCCTGCTGCCCTTGGAGGTGTGCCAGGACATCCAACCTGCCTTGGGCCCAGACAAGCCAGCCGACAGCGCCTTGCATTCCAAGCGCCTTGATTTTGGGTGTATGTTATTGCAGGGGGTTCTATATGTCTTGACAAGGAACAATTGCTGGTAACAGTAAGGGGCTATCTTTTCATCAAAACTCATGTGCCATTGTGAATGCCGTCATCCTTTGGCAAGCTCTGTATCGTTAGCTCCCCCATGCAATCTTGCACTTCTCTTACAGCCTGATGCCTCTTGATTTTCTTGGATTTGCCAGCAAGATGTGGTTGCAGTTGTGGTTCAGGGCTGCTGCAAGCAAGTTGCTTGATCTCTGTGATGCAGCAGGTGTAGGCTCAAGGGCTGTTGGCTGTGGCAGCTTTTCAGCCATGTATGTGAACAACCTCTACATCATTCAGAACCAGAATGAGGTTGGCACAAGAAGGAAGCCACCCTGCCAGCTTGCCAGAGACGCCAGACTAAATTGGCAAGAACATGACAGTCATAAATGTGCGTGTGCCAAAGAGAGAATGCGCGTGTGTGTGGGGGCTAACTGAGGATCAAGTGCGAGCAGCCAGGAACCGGCTGGTGCTTTTCTCAGCTGCTGGCATTTGCCTATCTAGGAACTTCTTTGCTGAGGGCACAATTCTGAAGCCTTGTCCTGCTTGGCTAAGGAGAAGGCATTGATGGGTCATCAACCTCCTGCCCGGCCTCAACAGGCAAAGGAACGGGATTCAGTAGATCATCATCATCATCACCCCCACCACCGTCATCATCATCATCATCATCATCATCATCATCATCATCATCATAACTAATCATCATCATCATCATCATCATCATCATCATCATCATCATCACTAATCATCATCACATCATCATCATCATCATCATCATCATCATCATCATCATCATCATCATCATCATCATCATCATTGGTTCCTTGTCATCTTGTGTTGGGGAGAAGAAGTAAGCAATCATTCATTGTCTGTTAAACACTGAGACTGGCTGACAGCTTTGATGGTGTTTCTTGGGTGCTTCTTGGAAGGAGCATCAAAAGGCCTGGAATTCCTGGACTGGAGCCTTAGCATTGCAGGAGCAGCAAGAGGCTTTGGCATGTCTCAGGTGCTTGCTTTTTGGTGCCTTTCAAATGCAGGCAGAGGAATATCTGGAAGAGGAGCATGGGGAGGAGTATGAGGAGCCGCCTGCGGAGGAGCAGTTTGAGGAGGCGAGGCGTGTGTGCATGTATGTGTGTGTGTGTGGCAGAATTTTAATGACACACTTACTTTTTAGCCACTGATGGTGGGGCATGTGCTATCCCTTGTTCAGTCAACGGCCTGGCATTGGCACATGTGGCTTGTCACTTGTCATTCAGTGTTGTAGCATGTGGAGAGTCAGGTGGCTGTGGAGAGTCAGGTGGCTGTGGAGAGCCAGGCCTGGAGGGCCAGCAAGCCTTCGCTGCATCAGGCCAGCAGGCCTCAGGCCAGCAGGCCCCCAGGCCTGCATCAGGCCAGCAGGCCTTCAGGCTTGCCTCAGGCCAGCAAGCCTTCAGGCCTGCATCAGCAAGCCACCTCTGGCCTGCGTCAGCCAGCCACTGGCCCTCCACCCATTGGTGGCAAACTGTCAGCCACCAGGGCCACCAAGCCTGCTTCCAAGAAGAGGCCTTCCGCACCTGCTGCCAAGAGTATGCCTGTGGCCAAGAGGCACAAGGCAGGGGCTCTGGGCTGCCAAAGTCTGGTATTCATTGTTTGCGTGGCCAGGTGTATGAAGTTGATTCAAATGATGATTCTGCAGTTGGTGAGGAGGCCACTTCCTTGTCCTTGTGCCTGCCTTCCTTCCATGCCTGGATGAGCATGTGCCCAGGCAGCGCCGGAGGAGGCCCAGGCAGCAGCTGAGGATGACTCAGTGACTGTCTTTGTAGGAACGAACCAACTGCCAAGTTGAAAGAAATAAAGGTAAGCCCGCTCTGTTTCATGAAGTTTGGGATAGGCCACCACTAGCCCTGGTGCACACTTCTTGCTGAATGCAGTAATGGGGACAAGGAATCAGCTTGGCTTACTTTGGCAGGAGAAGGATGAGTCCTGGGATGATGGAGGCACGCAGATCCCACAGGAGGCACAGCAGATCCCACAGGAGCTTGCCTCAGAACACAGTACTTGCCCCCAGCTTAAACATGACTGTAGCTTGCATTGGGCTGGCAGGCGCACGCAACCACCAACCATGCTCCTTGTCTGCTCCTGACCAGGAGCTTGAGGACGCTGGCTTCACAGATTGCGGACAATGCGTGTATGTGGGGCCCATGGATAAGTTTGACCCGGACAAGATGTTCCCAGACTTCGACTTTGACAATGTGCCGGTGGCCATTCTCAACTGCCAGAAGAAAGAGCTCCCTGGCTGTTTGGTTAGGTGGACACAAACTGCTGCAGTCCTTTTGCTGTTGGCAGTTCAGGGCCAGTTTGGCAGAGCCAGCCAGGTGCTATGTTGCTGTTTGTTGTGCACTCTTGGTCATTGCGACTCTAGAGGAATGGCCAGTGGTGGGCAGACCACCTTTCCAAGTACAACATCCCCTTCTTGGCAGCCAATCCAAATTGGATGAAGTGGCGAGCCAGCCAGCCAGCTTGGCTGCAATTGCAATAGCTGGGGGGCTGTGGGCAACGCCTCACCCATTGGGCAACTGGGCCATGTGACTACCCGGGTCCAAAACTTGCTCCCTGCAATGGTTCACCTTGGCCCCAAAACACCCTTTGAAGCCTATTCAAAGCCCTTCAACAGATTGGAAAGTCAGAATTCAGAAGGCCATAAGGTCTTCCCCCATGCTTCTGGCATTCAGTACAGGGACTTGTGGCTTTGGGCCCAATATTTTAGAATCTTGGTCCATGCCTTTGGCTTTCCAAGGCATGGGTGCCCCTAAAATAATCTTTATGCCT